GTGCGGATCCCCCTGCCCATCCCAAATCAGGGCAGTGAGCATCTGTGGGAAGTTCCGTGCGTCCCCGCAGCTGAGCGAAGGCAGCAGCCTTTGGAAACGGTGGTAATAATAGTGGCAATTAAAGGCTGCCTGCGGCTCAGCTCCCGATGTCACTGTTACTGCCAAGGGAGGGTGCCCGTGTTGGGCGGGTGTCAATGGGGCTGTTGTTCTGGTGGTGCTGTGGCCCCAGCCCCTTCCTGCTTGGGTTTCCACCCCTCGGTGCTCCCCGTGCGGTGCCCTGCTGCTCACTGGGCATCCCAAGGGCAGGGGTCCCCCTGTGCCACCCAGGTTTTGAGAGGAAAGGAGCGAGCAAAGGAGCCGTTTTCTGAGCAAAACCCCAAGCAAAAGGAGAGGAAACGCCACGGGAGCCGACTTGAAAGAAAATATGTTAACAATGTAAATTAGGCAGGAACGCTCCTGCCTGTGTTTTCTCCAGCTCGGCTGGAGCAGAGGCGGAAAAGCTTGACGTGTCGCGGGGTGATCCGCAGCCTGGAGCGCGGCCAGGTGGGGCGGTTCTGTCGGCCCTGGCTGGGTCTGATTCAGCTGCACCAGAACCCAGCAAAGCCCCCGAGCTGCGGTGTGCGCCGGGAGGGAGCCTGGGGCCAAGGGTTTGGGTTCAGGCAGCCCTGGCGGAGCGGCTTCCTCGCCTTGGCCCCTTTCCCAGCTTCTCCTCTTGTTGCGCCGTGGTGCATCGGCGCTTCAAAGGACAGGTTCTGCTCACGGGGAGGTGATGCCTGCTCCTTAGCTGCATGGGAACCTCTTGGTAGTCAGAGCTGGTCGTGTTTATGGTGCTGGCTCTGCAGTGAGTGTGCTGAAGCACCCAGCTGTACAGAATGGGAAGGGGAATGGGATCTGATCTGTGCGTGAGTCCCGGTCACCGCAGTGACCCGCGCGGTGGTGGCACTGAGCCCGGGGCCATGGCCACTGGCTGCAGCACTGCAAACCTCCAGGGACAGCCTCAGTGCTGGAGCTGCAGTGAGATGGTGAGAACTGGCAACACCCAACCTTTTTTTTCTTTTTTTTTTTTTTTTTAAGTGTTTCATTGTTCTTTCATATTTTGTTTGTGCTTTTTTTTTTTAAATGAGCCGGCTTGAATAGTGTTTCCAAAACCTCTTCCCTTCCAAAATGACGACGATTTGCCTCAAGCGGTGGCTCCAGCGGGGGTGCACCACCACGGCTTTGTGTCCATGCAGTATTTAGGATCACATACACATCTGTACATACGTGGGGGTGTACGTGGAGTAATGCTCATGGGGGGAATACAGCCTGCCATTGCCTGTTAATCCCCTGTGTGCAGTCAGTGGGCGGCATGGGATCTGGATACCTCGGAAAAAGCTCGCTTTGTTGCGTGCGAGTGGACAAATACACGGTTAATTTTTGTTGGCTCTCCTGTACGTGTGTGTAGCTCACACAAACCGGCTCTTATGGCCGTGGCGTGGGAAGGCGGCGGAGCCTGGCGGGCGCTGCGGGGAGCGGGGTGGGAAGGCACCGCGCAGCCCCCCCGGGGCTTCTGAGCTCGGGTGGGTTCCAGGGAGCCCCGATAACGCGCTGCCGCGGCGGGGAGCGCCTCGACGGAGGGCTTGGGTTTCACAAAGGCGAAATTCCTCCCGGGAGCTCAGGAAATATCTTCCCAGAACAGAACCAGGGAAGCGTTGGCACAGGTTGTAAAGAAAATAAATAGCAGAGCTGGCAAGAGGAGCGGCGGCTCCGTGTCAACAAAGCACGTAAGTGCAAAGTGTTTAAGCATGTGCTCGAATCTGAGTGCGGCGAGGGGATCTTCGGTGTTTGTGGAGTCCCAGAGAGGGGCTTTCCAGAGCTGAGATCAGAGACCTGCTTTTTCCAACGGCTGAGGACCACGGTATTTGGGAGGTTTAACAGCCCTGCATCATCTCTGCAGAGGGGTGAGCAGTTCTGCCCGAGGATTTCTGTGCGCTGCTCGGAGCAGATGCTGTGGCTGAACTGGGGCTTCTTTCTTAAAGAAAGATGTGGAGTTCAAGGACCTTGAATTCAGGATGTGCTGGTGAGAGCAGAACAAGCCTGTGCAGGATGTGGTGCTGGGTACCCCCAAAAAGCTGCTGCAGGAGTTGTCTTCTCCTGCCTGGTTTCTGTGTGATTTATTTTGGTGACCCCGAGCCTGGCTGCGACACCCCGCTGGCTGGCACGGCGCGCACACGGAGCCGCTCTGTGTGTCTGTGACCCCTTAAAAATGGGCTAAGAGTAAAATAGCTCAAAACCTGCATTTCTAAGCCCAGGTAGGTGATGCTAGATGTGTTCCTTTCTTCCGGAGAGAGGCAGCCCCTTTTCCCAGTGCTTTGAGCCCTGTGCATCCCTTGGGGTCGCGCCGGGCCCTCGACACGCTGACCCCGCTCTGTGGTTGAATCATTTCCTGTTTTCTCCGGCTGTTGAAGAACTCCACGAGGCGAGCTGGAAGCGTTTGCAGAGGGTGAACTAACTGCACTGAGGCCATGGGAAAACACAGTTTGCTGAATCTGCAGAGCGAGAGGATCCGTGTGCGGGGGTCCTGGTGGCTGGCTGCGCTCAGCCGTGCGCCATTGATCCGCGGGTGCCGTGCTGGTGGCTTTTCCATTTCGAGAACCACTGTGTGCATCGAGGCATTGATGCTGAGAGCATCTCCACAGGCAGGAACGTGTGGGAAATAGTCTGTTTTTTCCCAGAACTTGTCATGGTAGCATCCATGCGCCCTGCAAGCTCAGGCTGATGAGGCTGTGAGGGCTGCAGTGTGTATCAGCGGTCACTGGGGCTTTTCTTCAAGCCCCCTCCTTGATTTTTTTTTTTTTTTTTTTTTAAAGCTGTATTGCAAAGTTAATATTTGTAAACACTGGGGCCCTGCAGCCCGTAGAGCCCTCACAAGCCCTGTGCCCACGCTGGGCACTGCCAGTGGCAGCTCCTGCCTGGGAGCGCTTCTTGAGGAGCTGGGTGCTGGGGCCCCGAGGAGCCGCGGCATTGCCAAGACCTCGGTTGCTCGCTTCCCTCCTCGTCTCTTCCCAGGCGTGGGGTTAAGCTGTTCCAGCTGCGTCTTGGCTAGAAGCACCCAAGTGAGTTCCCCATCCACCTCCGTCCTCAGCGTGTATCCCAGTGCCGGGGCCAATCTCATTGCTCCGTGGCTCTTTTTGTATTCTCCTTCCCAACTCAGAGGAGGCTGTGGTCATGCTGGAGCCATCCACTGAACTCCCCAGCCTGATGTGAGCCCCGCCAGCTCGAGTATTTCATAAACAGCTCGAGGAGAGCTCTGTCGGGATATTTATTTACATCCCATTGAGCTGGCGGCTGTGCTCGGGGCCGCAGCAATGCAGGAGGGGGCAGGAGGGGGGCTCCCCACCGCATTAAACCCAGGGACAGGGGTGTTGGGAGCTGTCTTTCACAGCACCTTCTGGACAAGATGGGAGCGTCGGGGCAATTTCTGCTTGGCTGCTTTATTTTAAATGAAAGGTTCTAAGAGATTGTACCACAAATGTGATCTGGAAAACAAATATCTGAGGTCTAATAGCAGGAGGGGAGCAGCATTTCTTTTAATGCAAATTTCAAACCAAGCCACAGGGAATGTTTTCCTTAAACCACAGACCAAAAAAAAAAAAAAAAAGAAAACCTGCTTCTATTTTCTGAAGCAGCTCCTGCTGGAGACACGGCTGTGTTGGTGCGCCTGGCTGCTGCCCGGCCGGGCTGTGCAGGGGCTGCCGTGGGGCAGCTGCCTTCGTGGGAGCAGAAATGGCTCTTGTGAGCCTGCAGAAAACCTGCTGCTTGCTGCTCCCCTGGTGCCCTGCGGAGCCATAAAGCATCTTGCATGTGATGGGGGGAAGCACTAAACTCCTCACGTGCTCCTCTAATGTTCTGCTGTCTGCAGCAAGCTCGAGCTTTATGTGCTGCAGGAGCAGCCCTGTGCGTCCTGGGAGGGGAAAGCACCACGTGCAGGGGCTTGTGCATTTCTTCCCCTCTGCAAAACCCAGCTTCTCTGCAAAGCTGGAGCTTCTGCAGGGCTTTTCCTCCCAGCCCAGCCTGGTGTTTCTGTGAGTTCTCAGCTGTGCCAGCAGGAGATGGCTGCAGAGCGGCCGTGATGGATGGCTGAGGGTGGTCGGGTGGTCCTGCAGGTCCTCCCGCTCAGCTTGGGGCTGCTCAGTGCTTCCACTTATTTCTGGGGATTCTTTAGCTGGTCGCAGAGAACTGGTGAAGCGGGCAGGGTCAGGTTTGGGGAAGGTGCTGTTCCTTGGAAGTGGGGTCACCAAGGGCAATCTCATGCGCTGCCAGGGCGAGGGTGGCTCTGATGGATGGGGTCTGTGCTGGCTGCACTGCCAGAGCCAGGCAAGACCTGATTCTGGGATGGAAGGATGGGTGGTGGTGGTGGTGGTGGTGTGTGCTGGGCAAGAGGCGTGATTCCCTCAGTAATTAGGTGCTGTTGGGGAGCCCTCCCATAATGAGGCATCCAGGTGTGACAGCTTGGGGCAGGGATGGGGCCATGCAGGAGGGCCAGCCTGTCCCTGCGGGCACCGAGCCATCTCTGCCACGGCCAGGAACGTGGCTCCAGAGCTGGGAGGGAGAGGATGGAGCTGCGTGCCGTGCCGAAGTCACTGGGACCAAGGGCACGGCGCTGCCTTAAATAAATAACCCAGGTTAAGGTGCTGGCCCTGCCCGGCTGCGCTGTGCCCGGCCACGGGGCTCGGCAGCCCCCGGGTGGGGCAGGCTTATCTGGGCTGCTGCTGGCGAGAAGGAAATGCATTTTTTTGTTGTTTCAATTTCTCTGGAATGGTTTTGGACAATTGGTTTTCTAAAATAAACTCAATGAGAGGAAATTCATTTGTTAACCTGTCCCTGTTTAGCTGGCAGGGGAGGATGGTGCGCAGATACGTTGCTTCCTTGTTAGTTTTAGTTATGATTCAGAGCAAACCCAAACCTATAAATTAAACGCCGTGTTTTATCCTCCCCCACCACCTTCTTCTTTCAATCAGGATTTAAACGGACAGAAAGAGCTGTGCCCACGTCTCTGCCACCTGAAGAAAGGCCCCAATGGCTACGGCTTCAACCTGCACAGCGAGAAGTCCCGGCCGGGGCAGTTCATCCGCTCGGTCGACCCGGACTCGCCAGCCTCCAGAGCGGGACTGCGGCCCCAGGACCGGCTGGTGGAGGTAATGCTGGGGGCTCAGCACACCGTTCCCATCAGCCTGGAGGTCTTTTGGGGTCCTGTGCCCCTTTTGCAAGTGGGTAGAGGGAGAGCAGAAGTGCCGTGACCCTACAGATCAGCTGGGATGCCTGATGCTAAATCGAGCCCCCATCCCTTGATCTTTTCCATCAGATCCTGTCACATTCCCCCATAACAGAGCCTGATGCTGGTGCCCAGGCAGGGTGCTGGACCTGGGGATGAGCACGGATGGAGGTTTGGGGGTGTCACCTCCCTGACTTGGCCAGGCCGGAGCAGAGAGCACCCTGCACTTCATGGTGCTGGCATGGGGAGGTGGCTTCATGGGGACAACTGGGACTGGTCCCATCCCAGCCACCCGGGGAAGCTGCTTCTGTCCCATCACCCCATCTGCCATGGGCTTGGGACAGCTCGGTGCCACCCAGCTGAGCCAGCACGCTGCTGGGCAGGGCAGGCATTTGGAAACAGAGGGGGAAAAGCTCTGCAGAGAGGTCTTAAAGCATGAGATTGTGAAAGATTAGGAGAAAAACTGCTCTTGGAAGCGATTTCCTGTTCACTTATTGCTGAACAAGAGAATTTTTGATGTGGTTGCTGATCACCCTCCCCTTGGCTTGTTTGTGCCTTGCCATTTTTACCGAGTACTGAGATCCCCCAGTCAGAGCTGTGCGCTCCGGGCAGGGTTTGGGCAGCGCAGACAGATGGATGGGGCTTGATCCTAGAGCCAGCACCCCAGGAGCAGCCCTGGTGCCTGCTTCAGCTCCTGTGTGCTGGGAGCACCTGAATGCCCTGTGCTGGGGCTGGGTACCAGCCCGTGCCCCCACCCCTGGGTCCGGAGGGACGAGGGATTTGCACGCTCGGAAGAAACCACGCGCATCCTGCGGAGCCGGGCGGTCCCCGAGGTGGGGAAGTGAGCGAAGACCAAAGCCCTCGCCCTCTTTCCAGCCCCGTGAATAATCATGCAGGATTCCGCGGGAGCCGCCGGCTGCCTCCCGCCCCATGCCAGGGCTGCTCCCCGTGCTCGCCCCCAGCACCGCGGTGTTTTATCGCGGGGAGCTGCGGTTCAGAGCGGCGCGATGTCACGGCGAGGGATTTTGTTATTTATTTATCGGCCCTTGGCCAAGTGCCTGGCGCACACAAAGCGGCGAGGGGTGAGCTGGAGAGCTCGGAAACCCAATCCCCCCCGAGCCGGCTCTTTGGGGCTCTGATAAATATTTGATGCCCCCAGCCCTGCTGCACCCCCTGGGCGGGCTGGGGGTGCCGGAGGCTGCGGCGCTGACCGGGGTTTATCGTGTGCAGCAAAAAACAGCCCTGCAATGAGAGTGGCATCGAGACCTTTTCATGTGGGACAATGGGTGTGTTCGTTCCTGAGCACAAACAATGCCTAGAAATCACGATTGTTCCCTTTCTGCCCGCGGAACAATTGGGAGGAGAGATCCTGAGTGCTGGTGGGTCCCAGGTCGCGTGCAGCGAAGGGAAAATGAGTCAGTGCGTCGGGGACTGGGACAGAAAGGCCGAGCTCTGCTCAGCCACTGGGACACGGGAAATCCTCCCTTGCTCCTCTCCCAGAGGGACAAACGGCCACGAGCCCTGTGGAGCAGGACATGGAGATCTCAGTGCAGGCTGAGGTGTTTGGGGCAAAGCTAAGGTGAATGAAATCACTGGAGGGGAACCTGCAAGTCCCTGAGCACCTGGGCACGTGGGGTGGTGGCGGAGGCTCTGGCTGGGTCTCCCTGCAGGGGGTTCAGGAGTTTTGGGCAGAGGTTTTTGGTGATACAAAAGGTGAGCACAGGGGTTGTTCCCCTGTCCGTGCTGCGGGAGCCAGACCTGGTCCTGATGGTGCCGCTTTGCAGGTGAACGGGATAAACGTGGAGGGGCTGAGGCACTCGGAGGTCGTGTCCCACATCAAGGCCAGGGAGAGCGAAGCCAGGCTCCTGGTGGTGGACCCCGAAACAGATGATTACTTCAAGAAGCTGGGGGTGACCCCCACCGAGGAGCACACCAAAGGTGAGACTCGGCTCTGCTGGGCGACCCCACAGCTCTCGTGACTCACTGGGACACTGGGTGGGATTTCAGAAGTGCCAGAGTCATGTTTCCCTTGTCTCATCCCTCAGTAGTTTCCTGAGCACCACCCAGCTATTTATAAGCAGTGAGAATACTTCCTAATCTAGCCAAAAAAACAATTTGTTATTTTTTTGCACGGTGAATAATTAACCCAGGAACCCGCTGCCAGGAGGTGGCTGGGATGAGGAGGGTGCTGGGGGGGCGCTGAGCACGTTGCTCGGGGAGGGATGCTCAGGTGGGATCTGTTCTGGTGGCGGATCCTGGGGCTGCTCCTGCTTTGTTTGCAGTGCCTGGGAGCGGAGCAGCCGGCCCCATAGTGCTGATATGGGGCTGTAAGAGGGAGGGCACCATAACCCCGCACCGCTCTGTGCTCCCGAGACGGAGCCTGAAGGTGCAGGGAGAAACTCTGGGGCTGGCCCCATGTGCGTGTAGAGGGAAGGACTTCACGCGACAGCGATCACAGGGGCGGCTGCTGCAGGAAATGTTTCCCTTGCTGCTGAAACCTGGCAGAGAAAGCAGCCCGGCCGCTCCCCGACCTGCCACGGGGAGGGAGCTGCCCTGCAGCCCAACGGGGGGCTCTGCTTCCCACACCAGCCCCTGTCTGACCTGAACTCTGCGGGACATTCCCGGTCTGCCAGGTGCTCAAGGGGAAGATTTGCCCAAAGGAACGGGTCAAACCGTGCCGAGGAGCACGCGGGGCGAAAGCGGTGTCAGATGCTCCGAAGCGGTTGAGGAGGAGCCGGTGCGAGCGCTGGCTGCTGGCACGAGCACAAAGGAGCCCTTGTTCCCTGCAGCGGGGACGTGGCCGGGGCCAGCCGCACGCCAGGGTGCGCGGGTGGGTGCTCAAGTGCTGGGCCCTGGCTCTGCAGCTCCCTGCTGGATGTTGGATGCTTTCCTCGGGGGTCAGCAAGGAGCGGGTCTGCCTGGCCCGCAGCCCTGCACCGCTTGGGCTCGGCTGTCCCGATGCCACAGCTGAGGTCGTCACACCAGCACGTTTTCAAAGTCATCTTTTGTTTTTATTAAATAAAAAAGTGCCCTGGTTTACATTGGAAATACCTAAGTTTGCACTGACACATCCCAAAAATCAGCTCTTTGGGAAGCCTGGCCAGCCCTGGATGTGATGCACGGGCAGTGGCTTGGAGCTGTAACATCAGCAGCTCTGGGTTTCTGCAGTTGCAGGCTGCCCTTGGCTGCAGGCACAGCTCTTGCTTCACTGGAGCTGCCGTTACACAAGGCGTGCACGCACAGCATTGTTTTCTGCTCGGCCGCTGTGCGCTGGGGGCACCCTGGGGTCCCCCTGGGGTCCCACCGAGCCGGTCTCACCCCGTGCCGTGCACTGAAAGGGCCCTGTGCCCCCAGACGTGTTCGTGCTCAGTCGTTAGCCCTGCTGCAATTAGCACATCTGTGACACCACAGCTTGTCTGTCCCGGGCTGCCTCTAGCAATGGCTGGGTCGCGGTGACTGGCAGCTCATCTGCAATGAATTTGCCATTGTTTGGAGCGTTATTAGCGCAAATCATTGGAACCAGGCAAAAAAATGGCAAGGTACATGAAAGGAGGGTTGTTTGCCCCGTGCTGTTGCGACACCAAGATGCTGATTTCAGCAAATAGCGTTGGGCTGGTTTTTAAGATTTCTGATTAAACAGCTTCTGAAGAAAAATTACTTCACTGTCAGAACTGGGAGTACACCGCGTTTAGTGCTCACAGGGGGAAGCTGCTCGGTCCCCTTCCTGGAAGACATTTTCTTTTGATGAAAACAGGGAAATCAAAGGAAATTGAGGTTTCAGAAGAATGTGGTTCCAGAGGGCACGGGGGTACAGAGGTGTTTGCCTGAGCTCAGAGGCAGCGCGGGCTGGGTCTGGCTGCAGCTCTGAGGGAAGGGGTGCGCTGGGCTTTTGGGGCTGGGGTGGAGACCCTGTGCCAGGAGGGGCTCAGCCGGGGGCGATGCTGGAGGGCACCCCCCTAGGAGCCCAGCAGTGTATTTATGAGTATATTCAACACATTTTTCTTTTGCGTGGCCCTCAGGTGTGGTGCCTCAGCCCCTGACGAACGGATCCGCACAGACGCAGGTGAGTCCTCGCCTGCTCCTGGGGGCTGGGCGGTCCCGGGTGGGCTCAGAGCAGAGGGAACCTCGCAGCCTCCCTGAAGCTCATTTAGCTCAGCTTAACCACTGCTAGCTAATTGTAATTGCTTCCTGATGCAGCTTTAATTTCGGGTTTGCACGAGGCTGGTGTGAGACCAATTCACTCCTTTTCCCCGGGGACAGCGGGAGGAGGTGGGTGGGTGGTGGGGACGGGGGAGCAGTGGCTCCCCCCGCTCTGCCCATTTATTTGTGTTGTTTGTTTTTTTCTTTTTTTTTTTTTCTGTCTTTGCACAAACTGCACTAACATTTTCATTTCCAATAGCTGAACGGAGGATCCACATCTTCATCTCACAGTGACCTTCAAAGTCCCGGGAAGGAATCAGAGGTAAAAACCCCGATCACACACCCTCTTCTTTGTACATGCTTACATGTGTACGTGTTTGTGTTATAGTACTGGGCAAAAATGCCTCTAAATGCAACTTCAGTTTCAGATTGCAGACTTGGGTACACTTGTATCCACCCAGTAAGCAAAACAGGGAGTTTGCTTTCATGCCCTGCCCTGTAAATCCGCATGAAATGCGGCCGTGAGCTCCCGGCAGCTGCTGGCTCCAGCCCAGAGGCAGCTGCGTTCCTGGGGGCATCGATGACCCCTTGGGTGGCCTGGCGAGGCCATCCCAAGCACATCTGGCTGGAGCGTGTGGGAGCAAGGAGAGCTGCTGCCAGGGCTGTGTGTGCCTGGGGAGGGGGCCAGCAGCAGCACACTGCCCCCCAAACCCACGTCAGAGAGATATAAAAGCATTCGAGTGTGAATTAAATGCTATCATGTTCTGGCTTCCCTTCTGCTTTCAGACGGGCAGGAGTGGGGTTGGGTTAAGCGATGGCTGCAGATTCCTTCCAGTCCTTGTCAGGGGACAGGAGGGCTCTGCCAGCAGCAGCAGATGTCCCGTGTTAGGGGACGGTTTGTGAGGGTCCCGCTGTGTGCTGTGCCCCCAGGGACTGGTGGGCTCCGTGTGCTCTGCCCTGGGGAGATGGGGCTGCCCCAAGGGCCAGCAGAGCAGAGTGCCAAGGGGTAATGGCAGCGAATTAACTGGTGCTGTAATAGTTTGGAGGTGTAAGATGAAAGGGTGCCTTCAAGGGTTTTAGGTCTGAGGTGCCCGGAGCCTCTCCAGCATCTCAGGCTCGGAGGCTGCGCACGCCAGCTGTGTCCGAGAGCTGGGCCAAGTGCCTGCAGTCTGGCAGCTCTGTTTCTCTCTGAGCATTAAATAATACATGTCCTGCTCCTCGGTGATGGTGTGCCGTGCTAAGCAGTGCACGCCAACCAGTTAGCATCCAAAAGCCAGAGCAAAGCAGTTCTCTTGCAGGCAGCGCTGATGGGAGACCTGCCCATAGCTCCTGGCAGGGTTTGTGAAATCCCTTTGGAGCTTCGTGTGTGCGTTAAAGCTATGCCAGTGGGCAGGCTTTAAGATGTTTCCTTACAAATGAAGGTTTTTATTCTGCATGTTTGCTGTTCACATGAGTGTGGTGCGTGCAGGATGCTGCTGCAGTGACTTTAGGAAGGAAAGCTGATTTCTGTATCATACAGCACTCTTATTAGGCAGACAGAGGGATGCTCTTCTCGGTAAAGTTCCCAAAGCAAAACATGCCAGGCATGCAGGCACTGCTGGATCCTGGCTCTGGCTGTTCTCTGGAGCAAACTGGAGCCCGGCCATTTGAGCACAGGGGCGCCCGGCTGCAACGGTGCAGGAACAACACCCATCGAGTGCAATGTAATTATTTGCTCTGTGGCTACGCAGATGCTGCTGCTGCTGGTTAAACCACACGCACGACATGGGGCAGGGGCTGCGACCTCCTCTAAAAACCTGCGAGTTTGCTTATCTCACACACATGCTTGGAGATTTCTGCTCCCAGCATCGTGGGGATGGGATGCCGGGTGGCTTTGGGCACACGGTGCCGGGGGCAGAAGGTTGATCTTCCCTCTCTGTGCAGGACGGAGACTCGGAGAAGAGGGACCCGTTTGAGGAGAGCGGGCTGAGCCTGAGCCCCACGGCTGCCGAGGCCAAGGAGAAGGTGCGGGCCAAGCGGGTGAAGAAGAGGGCTCCGCAGATGGACTGGAACAAGAAGCGAGAGATTTTCAGTAATTTCTGAACCTCGCTGCTGGCACTGCCTGCCTTCCCCTGCACCTGGCCGGACGTTCAGAGGTGCCTGCGCCCTCTCCTTCAGTGTCCACGTGAGATGCTTTGTGCTCTGCTCTTCACTGGTTGCTTTTATGAGGCGTATTTTAAAGTCCTTTTTTATTGATGTTATTATTATTATTATTGTTGTTGTTACTCACCAGCGATTCTCATAAGACAAATGTGACCAAAGCTCCTTTTCTTGCTTGCTCTTCAGCCCGGTCTGGCTGCCTGCTGTCCCCTGTTCCTGCTGAGAAAAGACTGGAAGAGTTTAACTCTCGTTTCTTACCTGCATAATTTAGGCTTTTATTACTTTTTTTTTTTTTTTAATTGGGGTGTTAGTTTTGGTTTTGCGGGTGTCCCAGGCTGAGCCCCATGGGATGCTCTGTGCCCCTGTGCAAATGTCCTACGGCCTCGCCGTGGTGGGTGGCCGGGGGGTGGCAGCACCCCCAGCCCCCGGCCTGCAGCTTTACCCCCTCACGATGGGAAAAGGGGCAGTGGCTGGAAATCTCTCGTGTTGACTTTGCTATTGAAATGAAAAAAAGTTCTCGTTGGTGTTTTTTAATGAAGCCCTACCTGTTTCCAGTTAGTGTAGGAGCCTCCCTCCCAGCAGCAACTTCTGCCCCAGCAATAAAAGCCCCTTTTCACCCCGTTCCCCCCAGGTTGCAGGATGTACAAGCAAGACAAACCCAGCACCAAATGCCCCCAGTCCCACGGTTTGCACAACGCAGCGAGAGGTGCAGGAGATGCTGCAGGACCAAGCAGGTCTCTGGGGAGCCCTCGGGGCTGACACCCTGCCTCTTGCTCCCCCCATGGTGTCCCCCATCCCTGGGCAGGGCTGGCGGGGTCCCCAAAGCTCCCCAAGTCTCAGTGGGGCTGGCGACAGAGCAGACTCATAGTTAGGAGAGCATCGATGTCCTGGGCGATTGCTTTGGCGCTGTGTCCTGCTTTAGTACCAAAAGCAGCGTGTTCTCAAGCCCTCGAAACCTATCTTTAAAGCACTGCAGATGAAGCCAGCGTAATCTCTTTGGCTGTGACCAAGGAAGACGAAACAACGTGCTCACAGGCTGCAGGCAGAGGTGTTTCGCCGGGGAAGGTTTGTGTTTTGGCTCCCGTGTCAAAACCGCAGGGGGAAGGGACTGGGCACAGTTGCGTGCAAAACCACTTTTCCCAGCTCAATGCAAATGGCAGCAATAACTTGGCCCTTGATGATTATTTTAAACAAAAGACTTGGCTGCGACTTTGCCCTGTATTATTCCCCAGAGCTGATGTATTACAAGGCAGAGGCCTTTGGGTTGGTCGGCGCGCTACGGGTGTTGTGGTGGCTCTGTGTGCATTTCCTAAATGCTGAACTAAAAGGTGCCTTATACCATTTGCTGCTCTCCTCGGCGGCTGCCCACGGCTCAGCACAGGGGCAGCGCGGGGCCAGGGCGTTTGGCTGTGCCCCAGGGAGCTGCCGGGGCTGCTGCTGGCTGGCGAGAGCACGGAAACCCTCAGAGGTGAAGGAGATTTCTTTTTTACGAAGGTGCAAAGTGTTGATGGGCTGGACAGGTTGAAAAATGCCTTTGGAGAGGGACTGGTGCAGGTGTTTGGCTATTGGTGATGAGAGTGGCTGCAGGATGACTGCTCGGGATGCAGAGAGGTTTTTTCCCCCCACCAGGACTCTGCCAATTACTAGAGGCCTCTTCTCTACCCCACCTCAAAGACGATTAGCTCCTGTCTTTTTGGTCCCCAAAATACTTGCTTCTGTAGGAAATCAGGAAGGACTGAAGGAGTCCTCCTTTTTCACGGTATGCACGTTGCTTCCAGTGCCTGTGTAGCCAAACCCCAGGCAGTGCTCCGGTCTGTGCAGGGCAGAGCGCTCCCCACTACACCACGAACTCAACCCACCGTGCATGTCAGAGAGCAAAGCCTCGTTTGTAAATACCGCATTTCTCACCCAAGACTGGACCACTGTAGTTAAGGGGGGGAAAAAAAGAACACATAGTTCTGAATGCAGATCAAAAGAAATCAGGTGTGCAAGTCTGTACTGATAAGATTTCAGAATCTTAATCTCTGCTTAGTCCATGGAAATTGCTCCTGGTTAAAGCACTTATCATATTTCTGACATCTTGTAGCTCAGTAGTAATTATTCAGTTCCTGTACATTTAACGTGGAAAAAAAAAATCAATAAAGTGTAAGGCTGTTAGCTGCATTGTAAAAACAATGTACACTGTAATGTCAGTAATAAACTTTGTTTTCCCATGTACCACTTATTTGCTCGTTCTTCATCTGTTTGGTAGGGAACTTCAGAGCGGAATTACAGCCTTCTTTAGCACGTTATAAACTTTGCTTCCTCCCTTGCCTGTTTAAAGAGTAGCTGAAATTATTCCTTTGAAGCTCTACAATGAAGTCAGCACTGCCCTTTCTTTGAAGAACAAAACGCACACGTGGGTGGTGGCCCCTCTGTCAGCTTCTGAGGCGCACAACAACCTGGATCCTGTGGCTATGTAAGCTGTGCCAGCACACATCTGACAAGCAAGAGCGTGAAGCTGGATTGTCACCTGCTCCCTGTGCGCTGTGTCCCCTAGGCTCCTGTGCCAGCAGGACTCAAAGGTCACTTGTCCAAGTAATGGCAGGCTCTGGCCCTGGGTTGTGAAGCTTTTAGCTGGACCTTACTGCCCATGGTTCTTGCTGCCAGCACCAGGCAGGCGCCTTGGCAGGCTGCAAGCCCTGGCAGGGCTGGTTGCTATGGGCTCACGCTGCGGTGAGGCCATCGGAGCTCTCCTCCCCCTGCCCAGTGTTGCAGAGATGCCAGCAAATCTCACACGCGTTAGAAAACAACCCGCCACCTTTATTAAATGTGTATTTACAAGCAGCAGCAGATCCTGCAGCACGAAGCACTCCTCTCCAGCTGTTCCTGACAGCGCACAGCCTGCTGCTCGGCCGGGACACGCTCAGGCATTCACCCGGGGGCTGGAGCCGGCAGCACTGACGCAGCAGGACTGCTGCACTTTGAAAGACCCTTTTTCCTCTTGAGAGCTCAGCCACTGCCAGCAAGCTTCTCCCTCTCCAGAGATGCTTAGCTGGCGGCAGCAGTCTCCCATTTCCCTGCAGTCACACAGTCAGCCCTGTGCAAAGCACAGCAGTCCTACGGCTCAGCTCTGGGCTGAAGCAGCTCTGTTGCTCTAAGAAGCCAGGATGTTCCCTCAGCGTCTCTTAGCAGCTGGGCAAATATCTTGATTGAGGCATTCTTTGCAGCGAGGATTCACGGGCAGGCAGGTCTGCTGGCCAAAACCCACCAAGAGCCAGTTTATCTCCCTCCAGAGATCCCTGTAGTGAGAGGAGACCGTGAGCTTTCCGATACAGCTGCCCAGAAGGGTTAAAGAACAGATCATACTTTTAAATGGACAACTTTCACGCATTGCTTTTGTTCCTTTTGGCTGCCCAAGCTGCCTCTTGCTAGAAACAGCCCTTCTAGCTGTTCCTGAGCACTCTGAACGTGGCAGGGAGGGAGGAGAGGCAGAGGAGAGCCACATAAAGCACGTGTGGGCGTTCTCTTGTGTGAATGCCAGATGTGGAGACATGACAGACTGGGGAGCCCTACCTGTCAGCTGGCATTTGATAATGAAGATTAAGCCTCAGTGAAGGCCAAAATCCAACCGTGGCCTGACAGTACTGTGGCTGTTAAGAGTCAGCAAGGTCCCGTGCAGAAAGTATCTGGCTTGGGTCATAATGCATTTGTTTAGGCAAAAGAGCATGGCACCAAGGCTGCAGGTACCTTCCTGGACTAGCAGTGACTGACACACACATCTGATAGCGGGGAGCCCACCCAGCAGCTGAGATGCTGCCACAGCAGCCCTGTGGGAGAGGAGAGACACCTGCAGACAAGTCCTGCCATAAAAAGGAGGCACTGAAAATGCCATCGGCAGGACTGCGCGCAGCTGTGGCTCCTCCAAGCAGGGGCATGGTATCGAGGAATGAGGCTGGGGGCTCAGACCTCACCTGGGCAGCCAGTCCTCCAGCGCCACCCGAGTTTCCTCAGGGTATCTGGTCTCCTTCTTCACCCACTTCAGCCTGTTTGTGATCCTGTGCACGTGGGTGTCCACAGCTAGGAAGGGAGAGCCCAGAGTTTAGGTGGGGGGCAGACACGCCTGAATCGAAAGAGCGCAGCCAGGGCTGTTTGTCACAGCAAAGCAGGTTCAGCACCCTGCAGCAGGTTTCCTCCGTGGCCCTGCAGCAACACGGCAGGTGAAACAGAAGGGGAGGCTCGCCCGCAGAACAAACAGGCTGGTTTCTTCCTAGGCACAGAGCCAGCAGCAGGCAGGGTGGATATCTCATACCACGCAGCTAGCTACACGCTGACACAATCTTACAGAGCCTTCCTACAAAGGTTTCCGCACTCTGATCTAGCAGGCACAGGGCAGCCTGTCCCGGGTTCTCTTCCTCTGGGTGTTTCAGCTGATGTTACGCAAGTTGCAATCTCTGCCCCTTAGTTTACCCAGATGGAAAACACATTTCATAATGCCTACTAACACAAGAGGGTTTGTGAGGTTTAAACAAATGTTTAGAAAGTGCTTTGAGCTAAAAAGCTCAGAATGCAAAGTATATTATTGTTAGATCAGCAGCGATAAACCTGTCTCTATGGCTAATTGGGCAAAACCCAGGAAACTGCTGTAAACAGGAAGACTAAGTCTTGCCTCCTAAATCAAAACTGAACACACAATTATTTGGAAAACAGTTGGCTAGTTTGGCTCCCACTGGACTTCCCTCCCCCACAGCAGGGAGAAACCAGCCCCCAAACGCTGCTGACTTGCAGAGGAGCCACATTTTGTACAGCTGGCAGGCACCAGTGGGGCTGCAGGGGTCAGCTGCTGCCTGCACTGCCCTGGGGTTGTGCGCTGGCTTTAGTGGCCTGCAGTCATCAGGTGGCACCGTTACTGGCCTTCCCAGGGCCCTCCATTAAGCTGCAAATACTCTCGGAATATTAATCTGTCCCCAGGGTCCCTGGGCTGCACTGATCTCCCAGCTCCATCTGCCGGTTGTGTAGTGCAGCCCCGGCCCCATTCCTGAAGGGGCCCAGCTGCAAGAACTAAAACATCAGAAATTCAGTACCTGCGGGTTGCCTCAGACCGTTTCTTTTTCCAACTCACTGTGAATCACTGATTTCAGCCAACTGGCACTGCAGACTGAGCTTTGCTTCTGCCCTCTTAAAGGCTTGCCAAACACAAAAATCCTAACCAAGATTTGTTTAAACAGAAACAACCTTGGTAAAAAACAAAACCAACAATAAACCAACATCAGACTATCCTAGAGCTATCTGCAAATCACAAACTTATCCTCAACGCCCTTTCAGTTGACTCCAAGGAGATTTCAAAGCGTTATTCTCCTAGCACATCTTTTGGGATGCCTACCCAATTAAGCAATACTTGCTCTGCTTATCAGCATCTGAGTGGAGGGAGTGGAACTTGGGAACTAGGGGATTTTTCCTTCACATTTTGGGCAAAACAGTTCATTAAATCCTAGCAACACATCCACTGTGAGTAGCTGCACCCACCCAAATACAAGATATGGTGTGCAGATGACTAAATCAAAGCAGTACTGTTAGGCTCCTCGGGCAGGCAGCTTGCAATGCATCCCCTCTACCCAAGAATGGATTGGGCAGGATTTAGGAGGAGAGGAATGTGGAAAATACAGTCCAACCTACCTATCCCAGACACACTGTTCCAGGCAATGTTCATGGCCAAGTGGGCCATTTTGGGCCCCACTCCTGGCAGCTTCACCAGCTCCTCCACAGTGCTTGGTATGTCGCCCCCATACTTCTGCTTCAGGATGGCTGTCGTCTGCTTTATGTACTTCACCTTGTTCTGGAAAACCAAGGGGAAAGGCAGAAAAGACAAGTTGCCCTCCAATGCAGAGAAAAGAGACAAATAGCTCAGGAAAAAAATAAAACCATTCCTCAGTGTGCGTTATGTGTGAGGCCAGGCGCTGGAGTTTGCAGAGGGGTGGCAGAGGTCTTTGAGTTCTCCTTGAAAACGCTGAAAGCTGATTAGCTCGAGCCTCCTCTGCACTCTGCAGGCACTGCAGCAAACAAGCTTGCTGTGAATACAAATTGCTAAAACCAGCATAAAATACAGCCTGTAACTCGACTCCAGGGAAAAGATCACCGCAGGGCATGGAATAGAGGCTGAACACAGGCTGGGGTAAGTCTCAGGGGCAGGGCTGCTTCACACCCACCTCCTGCCTTCAGCACCTTCTTTCAGCACAGCCACAAGATACAGCCTGCGAGGGCCAAGCCACCCACCCCATGTTCCTCTCCACGGCTTCTGAGCCGTTTCTGGCAGCTACATGGGAGCTGAGGATGGTGGAAGAGGTTCCTCCACACGCCTGTCGGGTGCTGTTGCGGTCCTGCACTCACCCTCCAGAAGCCTACAGGATAAATGATCTGCCCAAGCGTCACATCATCCATCTGCAGAATGCTGTCAACCGTGAGGCCGCGCTGCCGGAGGCGCAGCATGGCAGCAGACGTCACCTGGTCCTTGGTCTGGCTGGAGAGCATCAGCGACAGCAGGACTTGGTAGCGCATGACCTGGGGGAAGGAACAGGGAGACACCAAAAGGCTCAGAGAGGATCCTGCTCTCCAGGGCAGGGTTCTCCCACCCAGCACCATCTTTATTCCAGTGTGCTGTTTCAGCTGTATCCATCCATAACAGAACAGAAGGCTGAAACAGAAATCGCCTGTAACCTTTCACTGCTACCACAAAACAAAGGGGACAAAAAACCACCTTCAATCTAAGCAGTCAGCATGCATAGAAGTGCAGAGAACAGCTACTGTGTGCTGGGATCTCACATCCAAGGACACCAGTGCTTGGCCACAAAGGGCCAGAGTAAGCTTTTCCTGATAATGGGATTCTCAGGAGACCCCACAGGTCATACAAATAGATATCCATTTATTATTTATTTTTATTTTTAATATATATAACTTGCGGTATAAAGTAGTTTTTGAAAATCCTGTTCCTTTTCCGCTAGGCATCAGTAGGAACTGAGTATCTTGCTCCAATGAGCTCCTTGGGAAACCCAATTAAAAATTTTGGGGTGTCAGAGACCGGGAAATGGAGCACAAAACCCAGAAGTTCCTCTAACGATATCAGAAGTTGTGTGAAGCGTGTTGGTGCTGCACTGAGGGTTACAACATCCACTTTATGTTGGAAGCAACAACTCCGCTCCCCTGGGGTAAAAACTTTATTTCCTTGTCAGGCAGGATCCCAGGCTC